GATCGAAGCTCTCAGGTAAGCCCAGTTTTTGGATTTTTTTGGTGGATCTGTGTGCCCTGTAGCTGGTCTAGGGTTTCTCATCAAAATCAAGAAAATCTGGAGAAAGGGGAAGAGTCTTGTTTCTGTTGGACTCTTCAATTTTGACCTAGGAAGTGGTGCCCTAATTTTTTAGGGTTCCTTGGAGTTTTTTGTAAAGGGCGATTCAAGTCCTACCTGATTTGGAGGCTTTTAGAGAGGGCGGCTGCCTCTTCTCTCTCTTCTCCCGTTCCACTGAAAAAGAATCTTTTGTAGAAAGAAAGTCTAGGACACCAGAAAGGTGTTGTTGGTTCCAAACGGTGTTTTGTTTGATCTTATTGCAAATTTCAGTTATTCTCTTTACATTTTTTGAGAAGCATGGAGGGCCACGGAGTTGAAAATAAGCCCGGGAGTGAAATGAGACCAGTGGGAGGAGGTGCTGGAGACTAGTAGAAGATCAAGACTGTAATCAGTCTTGAATCCTAATAGGTTTTAGGTTTACAAAATAGAAGAAAAGTGAGAGAAAGAAGAGAGAATAGAANTACCAGGAAACAGAGTAAAACAAGCAGGTCTGAAATCTGATCTGAAACTAACACGAAACTGATATGAAATCTGATCTGATCCGAAATCTGATCTGAAAACAATCGCCTATCACAGCATATGCAAGAAATAAACTCAAATCTGATCTGAAATCAATCGGCATGCACAGTACCCAGCAGCCTGTCAATCTGAGATGCTATTTTCTGAAATCACTACTATGGGGCCCACTGTTGCGAGAGCAAAATTAGGGTTTCAACTGTAGGTCTGAAATAAGTGCGCAGTTGCACTCTTCAAACAGTCCGCACAAGTGGGACTTRTCGTAGGGCAATATGAAACCCTTAAAACTAATCACCTCTGAGAGGGGGGTTCGGCCCAACAGTCAAACCCTAGAAACGAACTTAAACACAGTTCGACAAGTCAAACCCTAGAAACAAACTGGAACACAGTTCGGCCCCTCCTTCTAGACAGGTTTAACCTATCTCGACTGATTGTAGTCTCTGAAACTCAATAAAAAAAACTTACTTATGTACTTTCGGTTTACTGTCTTCTGGGGTTACCTGAACCCTAACCTTCACTGCTTCTTCTTGATTACCAACTCTCTGCAAGCCGCGGCAAGTCTTCAACTGCTGCGAACCTCTTCTAGTAATCTTCAAGATTCAGCCACCGAATACTTCTTCAAAGCTTCCAGCCCTAGCTAGT